AATCATTGACACAAATGATTAATTCAAAAACGCTGAATCATTCATTAAGCCTGGAATATACTTCACGATTTTTGCCCCGATTTTCTGCAGATTTACTGTTTGGAGAAGTTGACGCTATTTGCCGAAAGTCAGAGCCAGTTTGCAGATTTGAGTTGACGCGTGTATGATGGTCACCAACACAGACTCCGATTTTTTAGCTTCAGACTCTGATTCCATCCAGTCTGAGGAGATCTTGTTTGATATTTTCAGCCGATTTTAGAACACATGTTGTTTTCATTTGTCAAGCATCTCCTTGCAACAAGGCGCAGGTTTCTGCGTGAATTTGAAAGTCTAGTAGCATGTGATCCTCAGTCATTTAGTGTATGATGGTCAGTTTTTCCTCTGTGACTATTTACAAAGTCGGTAAGTGTATGATGCCTAGTGTTTTAAAAAATCTGTTCAGATTTTTTAAAAGTCATGTAGTGTATTCCAGCCTTAGAGGTACAGTGTGTACATTTTAGCGGCATCTAGCGGTGAAGTTGCGAATTGCAACCAACGGCTCAGTCCCCCGCTCACCCCTCCCTTTAGAGAAGCTACGGTGGCCGATACAGGACTAAGATGTCGTCGGTAAAGACAGCAGAGAGCAATGAGATTTCTTTACAAAGGTAAATTAAGGAATTATATTTACTTAATTATTTAATAAATCGATGCTATTGCGAATATTAATGTACTTGTTCATCATTGTGTCAGTGTTTTATTAGCAAGAACAACAAAGTGACGAAACGCGTTGTGTAGAGCAGTTTGTCCGTTTAGGGCTACTGTAGAAACATGCTGGCGACTTCCATGTAAGGGGACCCCTAAATTTGCACTCGTACTGGTTTTCAGGGAAAACTGCACTCTCTTGGTCGTGTCATGTATGTTATAAATATAAAAACTAGGCTACATATTTAGCCTACCGCAGTAGCCTGTTTCTTCTGATTGCAGTTTTGTTTATTTGTTTTGATTTCTCCACGAGATTCTCTCACACATCCATTATCAATTGCCATTTACACCAAATGTAATAAAATCAGAATCAAAATCCGAATCTTTCATTTGCTTCCCAAATGAGATGTTTTAATCAGATTAGTTAGGCAAGTAAATTCTCGTTCACTTGCCCCTTTAAAAAAAATCCACTTGTCCCAGACAAGCATTATTGTTGAGCTCTGTTACTGTATATACAATTAACCCTACCTAAGTGGCTAGTGCGAGTGACCGTGATACCACCACTGCTAAAATCCACCGCATTTGGCGGGTTGGTGGTTTATGTCAAGCCCTGACTGAATATTAGAAAACATCAAAATTTCATTTATAAATAAAAAAATAATATTACTTCCTACCTTTTTTTTCAGTGAGATGGATGGGCCTCATGTTTGCACAAATATCATCTAAATAATTCTCACGCACCCCAATTTGGCAGCCGCTGGCCTAGACTACTTTATTGTTTTTATAAAGACAGTTGCAGAAAATTACAAATATTAAGGACACATTTATTTTCGAAACGTTTTTTTATTTTTTATTATTATTATTATTTATTAAATTCATTAAGTGACATCCTTCCGCTAAAATATATAGTCCCTGACATGACAGAACATACGCTAAGGGAGCGGCGCAGTGATATGATTAAGAGCTTGTTTCATAGAGTTGACCAATCAGAATGTGTTCCAGTTCAGTCATTTTCTTTGAACAAAAAATAATTTATTTTAATTTTGAAATCAAATGTTCTGGACGGGTTTCGTGAGAATCACGCACGTTATGCTGGGATGCATTTCTCTCCGCTACCTGTTGCATGTCGCTGAACGACCGTTCGCTTCACTTCCGCTATTGCTCAGATGATGCGCCAACTCCTGTATAACTGCCGCTTTACCGATCTGATCGTTTCTCCTCTTTTCCATGATCAGATCCTCCAAACTCTGAAACTCCAGCACATGAAACTGTTTGTCAGGCAAGAAGAGCTTTAATCTGTACGGCTGTTTTCCTATCCGTATCTCCCCTCCCATCTTGAACTCCCGTTTACCGAATTTGCACCAGGCGGCGAAACACTCCGAACTTCTCCAACTTAACTCTCTGTCTTTGGCCCCCACCTGCTCCATCGCGTTCTGCACCACCATGTCAGGACAAAGGGGCTTGTATTTGTACAGCTCGTTTACGACCCTGCCCCTCCTGCCCTGACTAGCATCAGTCAGAAAACTGTTCTTGACCTCCGCACGGTGCAGGTGCACCACCTGGGAGTCCCCCACGTACACAGCCCAGTGCGGGTACTGACAGGCGGACACGAACTCCAGCACGTCCCCGGGCTTACATTTGTTCAATAAATTCTCCGGGCTGAACGTCTCCAGTTCCGTAGTGTTGCTACTTCTCTCATAAATGCACTCGTCTCGGTGGTAAACCGCGCAGTCCAGCTCGTTGTAGCGCTTCTCTTCCTCCTTCTGCTCCGAGCCATCGACATGCTGATGCTGATGATGGTTATCGTCCAGTTCGTCGTCGTCGGTGGCGAAAATGTACGAGACCCCGATCCGCGGGCCGTCTTCCTCCGTGTCGAGTCCGTTAGGGTCGGTCGTGGGAACTTCGGCGTAACTTAGGTGTGACAGTTTGTCAACCTGGTTGCCCATATATGCCACTTCAGCAGCGGACAGATGGAGTGAAATGAGCTCCACCTGTTACGAGCAGAGCGAGATGGACATCTGGAAGTAGATTCACTGCGATGCTCCGTCTGCGCAGATAGTTGCTTACTAAAGCTGCATATGCCAGATCCGCGCGCATCACAATTACAGACCAAAACAAAGCACTTTATACAAGAAGAGTTACGTGTTATTGTTTGGGATAAGTCAGAGGTCACATCCAGTTTGTATATCCAATGATTCGTGTTGCTGCTCCAGTTAGTTAGTAGTCCAATTACACCTGATGTTTCCAAGCAGAAAGTTCTTCAAAGCTTCACTGACATCCTGATGAAAGGAATAAAATGTTGCTCCGGTATCCGAATACGACAAACCCGTTATTTGCGTGCTTACAGACACGTAAAGCGCTTTGGTTTTGTTTTCTCAGGATGTTCTCTGTGTTTTGAACTGCACCTGCTGCGTGTTGCTCGGGTCCATCAGATATTATGAAAACCAACAGGCAGAGCGTAAGAAAAAATACCACATCCACACTTACACACGCGCCCTCATTTAAAGAGACATCGCTGGAAAAGCACAGCACAATAAAGCAGCTTAGACAGATATCATCGAGAATTATTATATGATAAAGTAGCTCACTCACGGCTGTCCTGTTAACAGTACTGCAACGCTGCTCTGCCAGTCATATTACAGGACCCACCGGAACTATAACTACTGCATATAACAAAAGCATACAACTTATGTAATGATAATAATACATAAAATAATAATAATAATTAGCCTACATATAAAGTACATTTTATTCACAAACAGGGGTGTCGCTATTTTTTTTTACTGATAAATCCTTCAGATTACCGTAATATTTACGGTAAACAGTAATATTTTAGCAATCATGTCATTTCTAACCTGTTAGAATCGGAACAGCCTTGCTAGATTGGCAAATCAATCATATCTAATCGGTCAAACCGGTTTGCAAAATAGTCTGAATGCGATTCATTCACTCGTACAATGAACAGCGGTTTCTCCAAATAGTAACGGGGGAAAATTGTAACTAAATAGTAACGGGATACTTCAAAAGAGCGAACACAAAAAGTGCTGGATGTTCACCTACAATCTTATTGTAAGAAACATTTTGTCAGCAAATAAGGCCCACGGATGATTAAAATAGCTATAAGATTTTAATAATTGTACTAATTCTATGAGAATATGGTAGCACAGGATTAAAAAAAAAAACATTTTTTACTTAAAATTCAGTTCTAACATTTCACAATTCTAAAAAAGTCTGAATTGTGAAAGTTGTAAATTGTAAAAAGTTGATCATGTTGGACTCACATTCAGAATGATTTTTTTCCAGTCATGAACAGCTTGAGCATTTAAAGACAGACAACATAACTGCAGAGCTTGACATAAGCAAAACGTTTTCATCTGTTGGTCTGGATGCTAATATAGTTATCAATCTTGGTGTGAATTCGCCATCTCTTTATTGTGCATACAGGTTGTGAATGGCTCTATACTGTATGTAAAGATAATGTACATCCATGTATCCATAACAGTATCACGAAAGAGTATCAAAATATGGTGACTCATTTTTGATGGGGGGGAGGGGCGTTCACAAATGAGCTCTATGAATTTAATAACTCAGAATAAGAATTTATTAACAGTCTTTTAAACTGTAAATAAAAGTATTTAACCTTTTTCCAAATAAGTGAGAAATTACATAAAGATATAGTTAATTACATGGATAATGCCAGTTTTGTTTTTCTGCATGCACTGCTTAGAAACATGAAATGCTGAAAAGACAGAGACCGAAGTAGAAGGTTATATTACTTTCATACAAGTCTGTATTTCTCAGTGTAAAAGTTTCATAGGCTGCAGCACATCTACAATAAAAATGGATAGGGTAGCCAGTAGCCACCCGCTGTGCCAAATTTCCTCCCATACACACATTTCTTGAAATATTGAAAGTTTCTGACTATAGTTACTGACCTAGTTTTAAAGAGCAAGCCTCCAGATAAAACCAGTTTTAATTATTAAGCTACAAGAAGATTAATTATAAAATTAATGACAAAAAGTCTAACCACTACATACACCGGCCTCGCACATATTGTAGGATGGAATTTAAAGAACATCTCAACATTTTTTGCTGACAGACATCATCAGATGTTTATTTTTTCTACTCCTGGCTTGTGCTATTCCTATGATGATATGCCCCATTTCAGGGCCTCACTGCCCCCTGGTGACACCTTAAACTTGTGTTGCTATAGTAATTAGAGTCACCGAGGAGCCAGCCTGTCTGAAGCCAAGCTTCATCAATCTGAAGATAACAGCTTTTTAAATGACAAACTGCATGCTAACACACTTGTAATGGGTTTTTTTGTAACATATTTATTAGTACTGTCATATACTTTTTACATATTCATTTGTTATGACTTATATTTTGGTGAATGGAATTGCGTGAGGGGAAAATGTAACTTCTGTACCCATTTAATTACAAGAGCATGTTCACAGTCCCATCAAGTACACTACAACAGAGAGTTCCTAAAATGCAGGGTGACTTTATAAAACTATCGGTTATTTTATTTCACTAACACTGTGACTGGGTCAGGCACGGAGCCGGTGTTGTTTTGGGTCGTATCGAAAGGAATGGAAAGGGGAAATAAAGAGATGAGGAGAGAACGGCACACAATACACACAACAACTCTACACACTCATCATGCAGCACCAAGATCTCTAATCGGTCTTCATACACCACTACCATAAGGTTTGATTGGGAAAACACTGGCAGCACCCTCAGTAAAGGCGTAAAGGTAAAAGTCAGGCCACTGAGGGGGATTTTAATGCTGTATTACTGCATATTTGCACAATAAACTTATACTGATATTCAACACATCTAGGTACTGATGGATACTCGATGACCTTGCCGTCACTACTTGAAGGTTTGTTGACTAAAGTAGTTAGTCCAAGTGAAAAAAATGTTCAAACTGGCCTAGTGGAATAAACGCATTCGGTGATACAGTAGTCTAATGGGCACAAAGCAAATAAGGCAGCCAAAAAAGTTAAATAATGGTAAAAATCTACATAAAACAAGTTGGTCTTTGGTCTCAGTGAAGCAGAAACACTCCTCTGCTAAGCAGAATTGAGACAGACAAGTTTTCCAGCTGGAATACGACTTAACCGAATAAACTGTAATCAAGTTCCAACAAAGGTCTTGATTTACAAAAAATAAATAAAAAATCGAATAAACCTGAATGCCATCCACAGGCTTGGTGCAAAACGTAAACCTCAACTTCGTGTTTTCAAACCCTGCTGATTCAAGCAGTTTTTGAGATTTTGTGCAGTGATATCATGCATCAGGTCACAAAACATGATAATACGAGTAGGGCAACTTCATCCAACCCCAGGATTGGTCCTATGTTTATAAGTCTATATACACATTAAAAGGTCAATATAGGATCATTTGTAAATAGATTTTCTATTTTGTAGTTGGGTGAATGGGACGTGTGATTGAACCCGTCAGGACTTTTAGAGTTACTCTGGACGCTCGCATCCAAACGTGACGGGAGGCGGCAGCAGCACTTGATGGCTGTGTGTGATTGAGTGCCACAGGTAACATGGTAACTCATGCCATAAGCGATCAGAAGTGAGTAGAGTATGGTGTGGATCTGAACAGGGTTATTTTGAGGGCGGTATTTTATGTGGGCTGATTTCTCTGTGGGGCAGAGATATGCAGGGAGGGCGGCGCTCGGCCGCTCCATTCCTTCAGCTTGCCGTCCTTGAAAAGCAGGTTGATTGCGGGTAGGGGGACGCCAGACTCTGCTGGGGGCTGACTCAGGGGACCCGAGACCCCGCTGTCAGGGTCCGCCGGCTGTTTTCCATCCTGTGAGGGACGGTGAGAAAGTCAACTCAACACACATACAAAGAACATCTGAGAGTGAAAAAATACCAGGGGTCTCACACTTCTTGCCCAATTTTATAGAGATTGCACTCTCATAGAGCAATTTCTAGCTGATGAAATATTTAACAGAGAAAAAATTTCTATGCAATTTTAAAACTTGCTGATACTTCCTGGTTTTCCATGAATGTGTAATACAGCTGAATGCAATCTTTGAAATAAGACATTAGCACTGCTACTATCAACTAAATCCACATTATATTAGGAACAATATAAAATTGGTGAAGATTTACCTGGAATGAATTAACAAAACTGAGAACTTTTAATGACAGTTTTCGACTGGAATGTAGTAACTCTTGAAGACTGCAAAAGAAAAAGAGTGTGTTCTTTATTCTTTAGTCCAGTAACATATATATTGTAATTAAGGCTGTCAAAACGAACATAATTTAATAATAATAATTAATAATAATAATCATTTATGCATTTAGCAGACGCTTTTATCCAAAGCGACTTACAGTGCATTCAGGCTATACATTTTTTACCAGTATGTGTGTTCCCTGGGAATCGAACCCATGACCTTTTGCGCTGCTAACGCAATGCTCTACCACTGAGCCACAGGAACATGATTAAATATGCGAAATGTTCAACAAACCATAATTTGTACAAACATGAATGTTAATTAATTAATTACAGCAGATTATTTCATTACACATTTAATTTAATTTAGTTTTATTTCTTGAAAATGAACAATGCGTTAACCACAAACAAATACTACAAAATTAACTTAACATTAAAATTTACTGCAAATTATATATATATATATTTAACACTCTTAGCCACACTGGTGCTCCAGATCCACTTTGTCCCGCAGGATCTTAAGGGCTTTGTGCGCACACATATTGGAATATGAGAACTCTGGGAGAGGCAACACAAATCAGAGCGGCCAGTTAGAACGACTGGGCCATTCAGAGTTCTAAACACATCTACAGTGACTCTAAAAAACCCTGGGCCACTATATGTATAGACAACTAAGACTTTACCTGCTTTAAGGTCTTCATCATCAAAGGGGAAGGGGACATAGACAGTCTCACCGTGCCCATGCATTCCATGACCCTGAAAAGAGTGAGAGATTTTGGTAAATGTTTTGATCAAATTAGATTTGAGAATGTGTTAGATATGAGAACTCTTGGTTGTTCAGGGTCTCCCTCCATTACCTGAATGAGCACCGCAGAGTGGGTGAGGGCATCATTCAACATTGTTAGCACGTTGGATGTCGGGACAACCCCGGGGTCATGACCCCATGATGTAATAAGCAGTCGGTCATAGGCCTGAATAACATATTAAATGATTATGTAAGCACTAAGTATTATTTTTTAACTTAAAAAAAAAAAAAAAAATTTTATGCAGAATTGCATTTATATAAAATTATATACAATAGCCTAATAGCAGAATATATAGTACGCTTATAATGCATAAACTAAAGTTCAGAATTTTGGGGATGGTGTTTGTTTGTTTTTTTTTGTTTGGAAAGAAATTAATACTTTTATTCAGTGAGGATGCATTAAATTTATCAACAGTGACAGTAAAGACAATTATAATGTTTATAATCAGAATGTTTCCACAAAAAACAATGATAATAAGAAATGTTTGAGCAGTAAATCAGCATATTAGAATGACTTCTGAAGGATCATATGACAATGAAGACTAGAGTAATGATGCTGAAAATTGAGCTTTGCTATCACAGGAATAAATTACATTTCAAAATATATTATAATAGAAAACAGTTATTTCAAATTGTAATAAAAGTTCACAATATTACTGTTTTACCATATTATTGATCAAATAAATGCAGCCTTGGTGAACATAGGCTTCTTCAAAAACATTTTAAGAATCTTAAGACCCCCAAACTTTTGAACGGTAGTGTAATTTATATGTACATTTTCTTAGTCATTTAGTCTTTTTCATTTTTTAATGTATGGGTAGGGCGAGAAAAATAACAGAAAATGAAAACGGAATTTTTTTTTTTTTAAATATTCATTTAATTTCAAGAAAATAAATGTACTTAAATATTTAAAGGAATATTTAACGTCATAAGAATTGTATTAAAGAACAGATTTACAGAAAGAATTAAAGCACAATAAAATACAAACAAAAATGAAATAAATATTTGAATGCTGAGATCAACCTGGAAGGTCTCTGGCAGCTTCCGGAGCCTGGAGCCCTTGGACAGCAGTAGTGAAGGAGGGCCTTGACCAGTGACAGAGTACAGGTATAGTTTGAACCAGATGGAGCTGACCTCAGGAATGGCTGGACCAATGTGCTGGAAGAGACACATCAGACAAATAATATAAAGCTACTCTAATATACATGGCCAACTTCCAACCAAATCTCCTAGTGACAAAACATGTAATGCGAAGTGAAGTTATTCTAAATGCACACCGTAACTTCTCCTTCAGGCCAAATGCTGACCTTATTTGTAAAAGACATCTAAACGGCATGTAAAAGATCTTTATGGAAATGCAGAGATGTAGTTGGTGGGTAGCGTTTTTCTACATGGTGCAACTTTTATAAAGAAACCCTGAGGCAAAGAAAGACCTATTTAGCTTGAACGATACTCTCAAGAGAACAACGATCTGACTGCTCACTGAGCGAGCACAGTTTTGTAAGTCCCAGCGATCATATATCCCTCTCTACGGGTCTGACTACAGTCTCCTGGGCTACCTGAGGCGTGCAGCTGCTGATTGGCCGGATCTCGTTGCTGAGTGGCGCCATGGAAACTAGCAGTTTGTAGTTCTTGTTCAACACACGGCTGCAGGTGGCAGGGTCCAATCCCAGCAGGCTTTCACAGCGGAGGAGGTCCAGAGGCAGGCCTGACGAGAAACACAAACATACAGCAGTGCCAACCAGGACGTGTGAACATGTGTCTACTTGTACTACTCCATAATTGAAGGAAATTTTTATTTAATAAAGATCACAGTGATACAGTTTAAATAAGGACACTGATAGTGACGTGTATAACCCATCAGAATTGTTTTCACAAAATATTAAGCAGCAAAAACTGATAATAAAGAATTATTGCAGAAATTCGTGACATCCTTTTTGCACTGTTAAAAATGCGTCCATGAACATTTTTAAATGTAGATGAAATGATGCAATTAAACTGTTGAACTGATTAATCGAAAAGGATTCAAAAGAACTGATTCACAGAAATACATTTAATTGGTCAACAACAATATAATATTTAATAAATAAATATTTGATTGATCTCCCAGGTCTAGTATATACAAGCCCTCAGATACTAACACATACCTATATTTGGTACATCAGGGCTCTGATCAGGCGTGAGATCTTTGTTGTAGCGCAGAAAGAGTATTGTGTTCCTGAGGGTCAGCGCATGGTCAAAATATCTCTGAGCCTCTCCTTCAGCAGTGCTCTCAACCTTATAACATAAAAGCATCCTTATCAAGCTCAACACACAAAGACAGTCATTATGTCTGTGAGTGAAAGAACGTGTGCAAACAAGAAAAGAATAACTAAAGGTTGGAGAGATTATTAAGGAGAAATGCAATAGTCTTTATGCTTTTGTGTGCACAAGAGATGTGAGAGCAGTGCCAAAGTGAAAAATGTGAGTGTGTGTGTGTTGTATAATCAGCCCCTGGCGGTGGCCCCTTTCTATTTCAATACAAGCACAGAGACGGAGATTGTCTGTCCACTGTGTGTCCCTCAGCTTCTTTTGTGTCCTATAATAAGGGTATTACCTTCTCCAGTTCCATGAGAAAACTGTCCAGGGTCTCATCAGACAACTTTCCAACCTCAAACATCGTCACGGCGTGGCTCTTCAAGTTCTGAGACGAAAAACAGCACATTAAATCCCGATATTTATAGATGATATACAAAACATATTTGATCATATGAAGGCAATCTTGAAAAACCCTTCAGCACGACGACTCCTCTAACTAAATCAGTAGTTCTCAACTGGTTTAGCTTCAGGGTTCAGCTTTTCCACTGGAGTTCAAGTGGTGACAAAACGTAGTACTGAAATTGCTTAGTGTACAAATTGAATTGCGATGGTTTCATGCCCTCGGCAGGCAATAATTCACCACACTAAACACATTGTGGAGGGCACAAACCGGGTTTTGTCTTTTCAGCAAGTGAACTCATATTTAACATATTCTGGGTTGCATTTAAATAGTTTTGTTCATGTTTTTTACACTTTAAACAATGATAGTGATTTTAACAGTAAAAGACTGTAAAAATGCTACAGTAAAAACCTGTTAATTGGTTATCAGTAAGTTTCCATACTATATACGGTGAATAAATGTAATTACATTTAATGTAATTTTACAGTAAAATACTGTTAAAATTACATTTTTTGGAAGTGAAAAAGAACAAGTCATTGTATAAATTTCACTGAAAAACCGTAACTCGACACTTGCCCATATTGCCTTATTTGGCTGCTTCTACTATGTAACAAATGAATTTGCATCAAAATACCATAGAGGCAGTTAGAAGACAATTACATGATCAGTTGTAGGAATACCCGACATATCAGTATCAGTAAGATTGGATATAGGCTGATATTAGTGTTTTAATATTTAGCGTTAAATGTCCATATTGGCTCTTTAATCGCGCATTCTCTTTTAGACATTTAGATTACATTTGCTGCCGTCTAACGTTCACTTAGTTTAAAAAAGTCAGAATTTTAATATCGGTACAACCCCAGTCAGTTACATTTAATTGTTTGCTTCTACTATCTGTGACCTTATCATAACAGGCCTGCGACCAGGGATACCAGGTCTGCGTAACAAACCTAGCACAATGGCCAATCAAAAACAGCCCATAACTAGCCCAATGACCCTATGCCAAATATCAAAACTCAAAACATACCACTCCCATGTTATGTGTTATGCATCATTTTAGCATAAAAATCACTATACAGCACTACTCATCAACATTATGGTATTTATAACAGTTATAAGACTGTTATAACACTGTTATCATGAGGAGCTTAAAGGCTCCCTACCAGTGCCCCTCCCTTACAAATCTTATCATCTAGCACAGTTTTATCATTGGCAGAATGTTAAATGGGTAAAATATTTCAGTTGAACAATTTAAGTCAAATACAATTTGTGTAATATGTCAAACCTTTAACCCTCAGGAGGGGAAAAAATCAACCCGTGGTGGCAACAGTTTAAAAGTAGTTCAGTTCCACAGTAAAACCGCAGACTTGGCAACCCTGTTTTCAGTCACCACCCCCCAACTGTGAACCACTGCACTAAATATTATCAAGCACCTTTAAAATAAAAAGTAAAATAAGCCACATGCAGTGTATCAAATATGTGTCAACTGTAAAGCAGAAATACTTAAATCTATGAATGAGACACTAACAGGGGACAGATTGCCCATCATGAGGAAGGCGGTGAGGGTGGAGTCAAACAGGAAGGCGATCCTCTTAGTCGGGGCGGCTGGAATACTTAGACTGCTCACACTTGCGGTGTCTGGAGGACAGGGAAAATCACACAGTCAATTTAATTCACATTATTATGATTTATGTACTGACTGGAGCCAGACTAATGTTTAATAATACGCTGCAGTAGAGTGAGTTAGTGTCTAATGGATGAGTGGAAAGCTATTTATGATTTAATGAAAGCTGTTGTGCTCTCACCCTGGTCCTCTAGGCTGGTGGTGTCTGTATCAGTGGCTGAGGAACCTGCCTCCATCACTGGACTGCCACCCTCCCAAGACAGCAGCATCTTCTGAGGGTCCATAGTGCCTCTGGCAAGCATAAGAAAACACTAAGATATAAAACACAACGAAACACCTGACTAAAGAGACATTCACATGTACAGCAACTGCTGGTCACATTTTAATTAGATTTTTTTTACAGGCTATACATTCATGTCAACAGTTTCTTAATCAATTAACATGAACTTTGACTAACACTACAGGTTCTCCTTTCACTTTTCCAAATATTTTAGCCATTACAGACTGTTAAATTAAATACAAAGCTAATATAACACATTGGTACAGAGAAGGAGATTATATGATTTTTCCAGATTTGGAATTAAGAGAGTTGTTACAATGTCACTAGAACACACAAAAATTCAAAGGTTTTCCTTTATGGGAAATTAATAAATAATAATGCATAATAATTTTAATAATACAAAAAGGTTTTTATTTTTATTTTATTGAAGGATTCATTCATTCGAATTATTAGATTATCAAAAAATGGTTAACTATTACTCAAATTAAAGTATTATCATGTTTAGCATGATAAATAAATAAATACATACATACATAAATAAATAAATAGCAAGGTGAACAGATATATGATAGAGGTGGGGTACTGCATGTGTTAGATGTCAACAATTATCCACCACTTACCCGGCGACATCCGCTAGACGTGAGGTGGCACATATTATATTATGCAGACATGTTCATGCGTCAACTACAAATGCATAAATTAAAATACCAATCCTAGGATTTTAAGAATCAATATTCAGTTCATTGGATTTAATCATAGTCTTATTTGTGATCAGAATATGATATGGTATGATACCAATAGCACAGATAAAATCTCTTTCTGTGTGAACGGCACAGAGTTTGAGATTTCTAGAATAGCAAGAGTTTTGTCTGTTTCTCAGACGTGAGCCAGCACTAAAAGCCTATTCATCAGTGTCAGGTAGGCCTTCTCATACTTGAGTCTATTGACCGAAGGGGCACTCTTCCATGAGGGGTGCAGCTGGTCCGGGCTGATCACCTGACCCTTTTTGATAGCGAACCCCAGGCGACAATACATGGACACTGCATTCTGGAAAATAACAGAGAAAAGTCCAATATTCTTTCAGCATTCATACACAATCCAGTGATGATTATTAACTACTATAATAGCATGTTAACACCGTTAATTTACGAGGAAGTCTTCCAGTCTGTGTTATGTTTGGAAAGTATCCACACACATCTTCATGAATAATTCATAGCGATATCGAAAACAGCTTTATAATAATAAACATTATCACAGCATCACTGCCAAACCACAATTTGACAACAAGAAACATAAAATATGTAGCATCCAACTGATTCTGCAGCTAGGCCAATCAAGCTAAGGTTAAGAATACACATTCCCTTATTTTTCCAAAGGTTATTATCTACATGGCTATAAGCTTGACTCAGAATGGTTCTAGGTGAGGTGGAACAGAAAAGAAAATTGCGGTACTGTCACATATGAAGATAAAACTGTTAGCTCTTGAGAAAGATTGAATGGTACTGGAGAAAGTAGGTCAGGATTTGGGTTCCATACAGCCTGATACTATATTCCCTCATTGTACTATAAATTATGGTGAAAAAAAGAGAATTTGAATATCACTGCACAGTATTTTTAGATGTGTTGATTAGAACTCTCACCGATTATATATACACACACATATATATATATATGAATGAGTATTAATTTTTTTATTAAAAAAATGAGCAGAATTCAATTCTGTATAAATTATTAATGTTCATAAAACTATTCTTACATAAACTGATCTATTGATTGGTTTTATAAATGATTTACAAAAAAGTAGGAAAAGAAAAGAGAAAAAAATGGTTCATGTTTCATAAACAAGGACCAATATTCAAGCTTTTCCAATGAAGCTATTTGTCTTCAGGCACATCGCTACCAAAAGGCACCATGTCTGCTACACATAAACACTGACGGCAGTGGATCTATTCAAATATACTCTGTCATCATCATTCACTAAATTAATATGCTTTCACTAATAGGATGACTGCAGGAAACGTTTCATTCTATTTGTCTTAGCAAAATGTCAAAGAGATAATGAAAAGGAATACTATCTTGTGTAAAAATAAATTCATTGGTAAAGATCGTGTCCTTTGAGTCACGTCAGCGACGTTGGCTTTTCTAATAAAGAGTTATGGATTTTCATGATGGATCTCATGAATAAGCTTGTTTTCCACTCTGCCAGATACTGAAATGGGGCTAAACAGCTACAAAGGAAATGTGTGAACACAATGGTTCAGTCCACATTCTCCTCAGTCTGCATCATACATTCAAAGAAGGACTCATTTCACAACCCATCAAAAGGCCAAAGGATTTGGAAAATTGCCTTTGCGGCGGCGGTAATTCCAGAACCGGTGCATCCTGGATTCACCACCCTCCCAGTCAGCTATAAAGGCATCATTTCATATCAAACATTCCCTGTAAATGGCCTTCCATTTTCATCCCTGCATGACACGTACCTTCACCAGGCCCAAGTCAATCTCCAGTACATTAGCCAGCTGCAATGACAAACAGAAAAGTGGTATGACATTCTCAAAGACAAGCAGAATCACTGAAAAGAAACGAGACGGCATTTCAAGTGCACTGCAAAGTGAAAACTGAATATGCACCTCCGACACATTAGTCTGTTCATCGATGGACACGAAGATTTTGTAGAGTAGCGTTTCGAAATAATCACCCTGGACTCTGTTCATGACAAACCCCTCAAGCGGCGGCACTGAAAATGAAAACCAAGAAGAGGTTGTGTGTGTGAGCGTTGTACCCTAAATATCTGCTATTCTTCCAAATGGATTTGTGATCATCCTATCATCCCTTTTTGATCAATGATTCTTCCATCCGCTATTATGTACATTCTGTGGCAATTAGCCTATTTGATAAACTGCAGTGCATACCTGATATACAGCTGTCATCTGATATGGGCACATCAAGATATATATAGCCCCGGTTGTACAAACCTGAAAAAATTGAGAAGATAAATAGATAGGAAGTTCTTGTACTGAATGTACCACCCATAAAAGCACAGGGCTTCAGACGGTGACTAAATGGTGTCTTTTTCCAACCACTTTTCCTGCATGTGCGACTACATTTTTGTTAGAGGTCGTACTGGTGCGACTTCAAAACTGCCCCACACTTTTGGATTGTGTGCTGTCATTATCTGCTGTGCATGGAAACCAATCATCTGCACAGGCCAATGGACAGCATTGCGCAGACCAGTACAGACTAGATGTTACCATAGTGACTATGACAGTTTGGCTGAAATGTTAAAAATTCAGTAAATATTATGATGTTTTTATTATTTTTATTATTATTATGCTATTAATATAATCATTTAATGAGTGGAGTGAAGGAATATAACTTTACTATTTTTTCTTTATTTTTTTATTATTAACTACGGCAGTTATAGTCTCACTGTCAAAATATTGAAAGTCTATCAAAATTAAGCCTATATAAAAAGTATAAATTAAATTAATTAATTCAATTAAATTCACAATTGTTATTGTTTTTTTTGTTTTTGTAAGCCTGCTACTAAATCAGTATGTTCCACCATATGCAGTCCAGAAAAAGGATGAGAATCAAAGCAAAGTCTTCTACATTCCATTATAACATTAATGTTAAAATATGATTACACTGTATTCATGCATAGAGCATGACATTATTTCAAGTGGTTTTCTTAAAGACTGAAACTGTCTCAGTGACACTCACTCAGAACCACGTTGTACTCCATCGATCCAGTCAGCTGAGGTCCAGAATCTATCATCTTATCAATGGCCTTCTTCTCCGCCACAGAGCATATCTGAAATCAACCCAGCACAAAAGCACTAAAGGCCAGAGGTATTTCAATCCAGTTACAAACCTTCAAATGAACAACTAGAAGAGAATTTTGTCTTCTGACAGTTTCATGCAGGAAATATGAGGGAAAATGTAGCTGTTGAGAATAATTTGGTTTTGCTCATCTTTTTTATTTAAAAATTACGTAACTGTTAATGGTGTGTTAGAAAGCACAGTTGCATCATAAAAGAAGTATTAAATTAATAATTTAGTTTTATTCTCAGTGACTCCATTTCTTTGAAATAATATTATTTCCTTTTTTCCATTTACAAAAGCCTAATGTAATTTTATGAACAAGACTAAAGAAACATTGTTAAATGAATCCGCCTTACCCTGATGTCATCCTCGGTGATATATCCGGTCTGTACCACCCACCAGGGCTCTACTGTGATCTCCACAGGTTTTGCTGGCAGGAGATCCCGAGCCGATTTCCTCCGGAAGAATTTCTAGCCACAGACAGATGCTGCTTAGGCAACAGTGTGAGGTTATCACCATGTGTACAAAAGCATTGCTCTCTATGGATTACATCTTTCATCTTCAAATGGAGCAATGAAACCATACAGATTTGAGAACCATCTAATGAACATCATGTTGAAATCCCAAAATAGCTTCCATGGAAGTTAACCACAACATCCTAATTGATCTACAGTGTAAAACCAAGAGCGACTTACTTTGGAAGATCTGCACTGGTTCATTAGGTCAATGTACTGGTTCCTGCCAATCCCAAGCAGCCTTAGACCTGAAAGGTCAACAGTTAGATCAATAAATACGCTAATGGACGCCAACTATAAATACTTTATGTGTGGACACCTAATTTGCAATCTATGACCCTGTTTACAGCAGAATTGGAAAGTAACAGGGGCTTGGGGCAAAAAAATCAAGATAAGGGGGCAAAAAACACATTATTAAACTAAATCAATTAAGACTGATGCGATTAAAGTGAAATGTGAAAATGAAAAGTATTGATTGTGGCACTGTACAGTAAAAGACGACATGTAAGCATTGTAAGACAGCTTCAGTGGTTATACTGGGAGACATGGACCATTTCAGTGAACGCTCTTTGCTCACTTTCTGCATATAATTTATTCCCAGTTTGATTAACCATTTGTGACCCTGGACCACAAAACCAGTCATAAGGGTCAATTTTTCGAAATTGAGATTCATACATAATCTGAAAGCTGAACAAATAAGCTAAATAAGGTTTTTTAGGATAGGACAATATTTGGCCGAGATACAACTATTTGAAAATCTGGAATCTAGGGTGAAAAAAAATCTAAATATTGAGAAAATTGTCTTTAAAGTTTTCCAGATGAAATTCTTAACAATGCATATTACTAATCAAAAATTAAGTTTTAATATATTTACAGTAGGACATTTACAAAATATCTTCATGGAACATGATCTTTACTTAATATCCTACTGATTTTTGGCATAAAAGAAAACTCAATCATTTTGACCCATACAATGCATTTTTGGCTATTGCTACAAATATACCCAAGCAACTTAAGGCTGGTTTTGTGCTCCAGGGTCACATTTTGTTTTCATGTTGCTAAGACAACCAATGTGAAGTGCTGATTTTCTTATGTGTAAAAAGCAACAAACGAATTGGTTCTTAGCTTTTAGTTTTGTCTGGGTAGCCAGAACATGACATGTCCATGTGTCTATTGCACATAAACATAAATAATCATTATTACAATATCAAGAGCAATAAATGACAAATAATTTTTGCCATAATATTATAGAGCCCTACCCTGTATGGGTTCCTGTTTTTTTTTTTTTAATTTTAAAATTTATACAGTGCCTTGTGAAAGTATTCATACCCCATCATTTTTTTCATGGTTTATGTTGCTGCCTTATGTTAAACAGCTTTAAATTACTTTTTTCACATCAATCTACACTCCATACACCATAATGACAAAGCAAAAAACAGGTTTGTAACAACGTTGCAAATTTATTAAAAATAAAAAACTGAAATTATTACATTGCATAAGTATTCATACCCTTTTCTGGGACACTTGAAATTTAGCTTGTAGCGGTTACTACACACTGAGTGGAGTTAACCTATGGCAAAGTCATTTGAATGGGTGTGATATGGAAGCATTTAAAAAGCATTTAAAAGTGCCATGACAGATGCAGCTTCTGTTCGGATCTTTGATGTAATAATACAATTTGATTGGTAACAGTCTATTGCATTCTGATTGATTGAGGTAACTGGTTAAAAGTAAGTATTTGACACAAAAGACGTATCTCGGCCAAATCTTGTCCTATCCTAACAAAGCTTATTTATTCAGCTTTCAGATGATGTATAAATCTCAATTTCAAAAAATTTATTAATATTAATATTATATTAATATTAATCAAAAAGTATGTCTAATTAATTGAAATCATAAAATATTTAACAGTAATTTATTAAAAGTTTAACAAAAAATAAATTGTTAAGGTCCTATGAAACACGTTTTATTTTTCTCAAATTCAGTTTTATTTTTACTACATTATGTTTTCCATAAATTTTCTGGATTACATTTTAATGGTTTCATTAAATTTTAATGATCAAAAGCATCTCTAATTAATTGATTTTATACAAAATTATTTATTATTATTTTTTTTTTTTTTAAATACTGTGTTGTGTATTTACATTTTTCTGCTAAATAAATTCTGGTAAATAATTCTTAAAAAACAATGTTTTAATAATAATTTTATTAGTAGTAGTAGTAGTAGTGCTATCATTACATTAAGTAAAATATTTCTGTCACAGTTTCTTCAAGTTAAACCGAACTTTTATTTTTACGGGTTGCTGTGAAGACCTTTAAGTTTCTGTTTGTATATGATATGACGATAGTTTTTCTCAAAAGAAACGGTAAAATGCTCATGAAGTGACTCTCAGAGCAGTTTATGTGTTCATGTGCTCATATATTGAGGCAGAAATCATAGGGCATTCATTGTTTCTGCCTGAATACATGTGATTAACTTCATGATTTGTATTATTCTGAAACTGCACATTTCTGCCATATGGACATTACTTTGACGGTCAACTCTGATAACAAAATACTCTTAATTGTAATGTAGAAATATGCATTTCCTGTAAAGCTGTTTTGAAACAATATGTATCGTGAAAAATGCTATAAAAATGTGAATTACATGCGTTTTCGACTACTTCTGAATGTCGTTTGATGCTCACAAAACATTTTGGACCCAGTTTACACCTCTATTGAGTGCTGACTGCACATGCTTGCGATTGGTAGGACATCATGGATGTCCTTTAGTGTTTGGAGGAACCTCGGTGACTTTAACATATTCCTCTATGCCCCAGATCCTGCCTTCCTGGGGCCTCAGCAGCCCGTCCCTCTCCATGCATAAAGGCACAGGGGTCTGGGATCATTAGAGAAGGCCAGGCCTGACAGTGGCGAGCCAGGCATGATGCCAAAGGCTGTGGGGTGAGCTGTGAAGGGCAGGAGTGCAGCCTCAATTCATACAAAGAGATTAGAGCGAGAGACCCATGCATAGCCTGCTGGCTACCTTCTGTCTACCCAACCCAAAGACCATGTTCTGTGAGATCTCTGAGCATGCACAGCCAGCTATTATGGGCCAATAACAAATTATTTGTTTCATAAGAATTTAATGATGTGCTATTATGCCAAAGATTTTGTACACAGATGCTTTGGGGTACAAATATTTGTATGACTGTACAGCCTTCTACACAATTCACTTTAATCTGTGCCTGCAATTCACATAAGAGTGTTGACATCAATTCCCATGAGATACAGCAGCACATTTCTTTCAGTTGAATAATGACAAGACATATGGGTAAATGTAAGGGGTTCATAAAATGCAATTAAACTCTAAAATTCTGTCAATTTTTTACACTAAATAATATGTGATTGTTTGTCTTGTTGCCAGGTGCTTGTACACTATTATTATTGCTTATTATTATTTTTATATTATTTTATAATATATTATTTTATATTATTATTATATATTATTATTATTATTATTATTATTATTATTATTATTATTTACATAAATGAATAATCCAACTAGAAATACAAAATGCCACAGTCCAAACTCTAAATACATTTTATGTCATCTGTCTATTTACACATTATCAGTGCTTTGAAGAGTTTTTTTCGATATATTTAAATTTTGTATATGAAACAGTATTGAACAGTATTATATAAAAAAAAACAATTTTAAACTAGATTAACAAATGCTGTAAAAATGTTCATTTTTAGTTCATGACACCTCATGCATTAACTAATGTTAAGAAATGAAACCTTACTGTAAAATGTTACCCATGTTTCTATATTCATATATTTCACATTTTTAAATATTATTTCACTAACCATGATTTAGTAAATGCATTTATGCCACCTCTGAGCAGCATTAAACAGTACAAGTATCTTTTTGTGCTGTATATATGGCACATTTGCCGTGTAAAAAGACAGCACTGCCATTTTTCTTCTGAGGAATTAGAAAGGTATATTCATTAAATATTTACATTCACTATTATTCAGAGTAATTCTGTGCCACTTCATTCTGAGTGGGCAATGTACAGCCATCTCTAGTGGCTTGTGGCCTCGTTATTGTGCATGAGCAGCCAGTAACAAATAATGATTCCCAGCTCTGACAAAGAGAGAACAACTTACAGTCAGCAGCAGTGAAGTTGGGCAGGGAATCATAACTCTTCTCACTGTTCATGATGTCCTGAATGAAGGGGAAAGAGACTGGGTCATGCACTTCCAATCAAGTGAAGTCCAATGAAACAATAGTTTCACCTAAGAGTTATGATTCTGTCATCATTTACTCTTCCTCGTGCCTTTCAAAACCCATATGACCTTCTTTCCTCGATGGAAAACAAAAAGAAATGTTTACAGCAGAGTGTCCAAGCTGCTTTTTTTCCATAGAATGTAACTGAATGATGACCATGGCTGATTTTTCTCACATAAAACAATCAAAGAGCTTCAAGAGACTTAAAATATAGCCATTTAGACTACTAAAAGTCTGATGCTTTTATTGTGTTTTTCATCTTTTTTGGAGTTTGACAGCCTGGTAATACACATTTGGGATAACATGAGAGTGAGTAAATGATAGTGAACTTTCCCTTTAAATGATCTCAGAACATCAAAATATATATTTAGAAATTTACTAAGAACGCTGGTAAATGAATTTGCTTAAGTGACACCAGAAGTCACACAGATAGAAAGCAGACACCACTGCTTTACAATAAAATATGGTAAGCTGACACTCTGCATAAGACATTTACAGTAATCCTCATAAGCTCAAACAAAACACTACCGTCTAGTAAACATACCTTTCTGAAGCATTATCAGAATGCAGAACTTCTACTGTAATGAGCATTAACAAAAGCGAAAATAACCTGGTAAACAGTTAATACTTCTCTATCGCCTCTATCATTAAAGGAAGAAAAACACTCGCAAACTAGAACAGTAAAACACCGAACGCTTGGATGCCAGCCCATGTCTACCATATGTTGCGACTGTTTTCACAGAATCAGTGATAAGTGTAGACAACATAATTTGTAGTTTGAGAAAATTAAATTAGTAAATACTTCAGAGATGTGGCTGTGGTGCTTATATAGGCAATGCATGTTTGAGTTAAGCATCATTAGCTGAGCCGTTACTTCCTATTCTCCCCATTACTCTCTCTTCACAATTAAAAGCTGCAAAAATAAAATAAGAAAGAAAAAGCTATTATGGTAAATGTTATTCAAATAGTTGACTTGACCAAACCTCCATGATGCTGATGTAGTAGGAGAAGGGGGTGACCCGCAGACCTTTGACCATGATGTCAGACAGGTGGTAGGGGTAGAGCATCAGATGGTCCCGGCTGTATTTCAACAGCTCTTCATAATACTTGCGTTCGTCCTTCTTCACATGCCTGACTGTTAGAGAAAAGGTTTTTGACAGAGTTGTGGGACACTAAATCAGGGCAGCGATGCTCATTAATTACATCTGCTGACAGAAGCTACAATGAGCTTGTTGGTCTGGCCAGAGTGGAGTGGGAAACACAAATTGTTCGGAACAATGTCACAATGAAAAACAGGAGTTACGGAAGAGAAAAGCAATAGATTTTCTCTGTTCATCTAACACTTACCTAGGTTATTGCGGAAGCGAAGCTGGTTTCGGATACTGTACAGAAGAACCTGCTTGTCATATTCACGCTGCGAGTTTCCCAGACTCTGTGAATAAAGCAAAACACTGCAAAAATATTTCTTACAGAAATGAAAGTGCAGAAAATATTTAATTCCTATGGATTTAGTTAAACAATGCAATGTAAACACATAATGTTTGGCATTATGAGAATGTGAATTTGTGTTTAACTGATTTTAATGTGAAAGAAAAATCAGGTCAAGAGTCAAAAGTCATTTCCATACGAATTCTTTTTTTTTTTAATTGTACTAAATATTTCCAAAGCCACAATTTCTATGCTATCCACATTTATTTTACATCCCAATATTCCTACTGTATGTCAACATTTGTTCCCCTTTTAACCCTTTGATGCATCCCTGTAATTCTTCTATTCTATTTTATATTGCAGTGGACAGATATCTCTCAAAATATAATATTTTTGATTAAAAAACAAATAAAATAAATCAATTAATTATAAATATTAATAAACAATAATAAATAAAACATTATAATATTTTTGATTAAAAAACAAATAAAATAAATCAATTAATTCTAAATATTAATAAACAATAATAAATAAAACATATATATATACAAATTCTCATTAAAATTTTGTTCACTGCAAAATAAAACAGAATAAATTATTATATATTATTCAATAAAAACTAAACATTATTTGAATATTATTGTTCATTGTACAGTTGTACTGTACATATTATTTCAAAGCACAAAGAAACATTAAGATGATCCCACGTGCTTTAATAATTCACGCATCAGAGGGTTACTGTCTCCAAAGGAATTTTAGAAGAAACATCTGAAACAAAGTTGACACAAACATGCACACTTTCTTTATGATTAGCCTTTAATATCTATTGATGTGCATCTATTATGCAGAGGAGTCTGATGACAGTAAAGAAACGACAATGATGGTGATGATGTGTGTGTTTACGGATACCTGAATGAATGAGAGGACTGACAGTATATCTGGAAATCATGCTGATGCTGAGAATTATTATGCAGGTAGGGCAGGCAGTGATGGGAAAGTCATGTCAGATGGTGTTTGTGAGCGCTGAAGACATGTGTGCGGTGTGTTACTGTACCTGTTTGACATTAGCTGGCAGTTTGTTCCACGGGTAATTCTGCCTGATGTGAAATTCTACGTCCGTATTCATTGCTGGACTCGAGCTCCACGGCTATTCTAACAGATACTCACGGGCTTTCGGGTAAGTCCGAGATGACTACACCCTCCCGGTACTTATTTAGTGATAAGACACCGTTAAGCAATTAAATGTCTCCTTTATGAATGTTATTTTAGCCTTGACAGTGAACGTCCACTTCCTTGTATTTTTAAGCCAGCCTTCGTCACGCTGCTGGCTATGTACGTCACTTCCGCTCAGCGCGTGACGAAAGGAGATATCCAGCTAAGTTAGTGACGGGAAGTCCGACTCATTTTGCGCGTTTCGGTTCTTTTAAATGGCTCGTTTCAGAATCAGAATCAGAATGAGCTTTCCCGCGGCGAATAGAACGGCTTGCAGTTAATGAAGAGCACTTCTAGATCTGAACAGCACATCTTCTTTAACACAGTTACATCTGTACACCACCTCTCATTGATGTAAAAGCATGTCCCGCCGCCGCGTGATTTCCCCGTTGATTCTGCGTCGCAGGTCCGCTCTGAACAGCTGAAAGCCCGGCAGATGTAGTGCGCTGTCCGGAATGGCGTCATTCAGCCAGGTTTCCGTGAAACACAGAGCAGCAGAGTTTGAAAAATCCTTATTTGTCCGGGAGAGCAGAAGGAGTTGAACGAGTTTTCGAATGAACGAGTTCGAAAAACTGCTTCAGCGGTTCTTTGCCTGGCATAGCGTATAACTTTGTCCAATGGTGGTTTCCTATTGTTTTATTTATAAGGGTTTTACTGTCATTTTATGTGTGCCAGTTCAGTTTATTGCAGTTTAGTCCCGTCTTTTTGAGTGGGTTCTACTGAATCATAAAAAAGATCCGACTCAAATGAACGATTCATTCACGAATCAGGCATCGCTGCAGAACAAACATTAAAACGCATTGCATTCATTGTAGTAAGGGTGTAACCAAAAGAAACCGTGATAACATAAAATGAAACTCATATGCTAAATCTTTGCCCACACCTTATTATAAATCTATCATTAGGTTTTGATGCAAATATCTTCGGTTTGTGTTAAGAAAAATGCGTTAACCACACCTATGGTAGGAAAGCAGTGCAGCAGGCAAAGGAAACAGCTGTGTGCATCAAAGGGAAGAGGTGACATTACAAAAGATTATGCTCCCTTGCTGACATACCAGACTGCATGGCATTCTGCAGACATCCCACCCTGCAAACACTCATTTCAGGGAGGTAGTACCACCCCCAACAGCACAGTGAGACAGAGATGTAGATGTTTGTGAAAGATGTTTTCTGTTTTGAAAGGATGAACACTGTAAAATTATGCCATAGTCTATTTATTGCATTGTTAATATTTATTATAGATTAGGGGTGGATCATTTTATCAGTTGTTTATTATTCATGCAACAATCCATATTACTGTTATAGTTTTCATTAATAATCATTGCTCTATGATAACTTTGTCTAGTGCTCTTATGGATGTTTTTAGCATGACTTTGTGAAAATGTAACGACTACTGAATAAAATAGCAGACTTCTTCATGGCTAGTGTTTGCGTATTTGATTTCATTCTGTAACCTACTTGTTCTACATATCTGTGTACTCGTGTTAAATGCTACTGTTTTTGATAACGTTGATAACGTTTCTAATAGATAATATCATGATATTTTTTGCGTTTCCCTTACCGAATGTGGGGTAAGCGTTTCCCTTACCGAATGTGCTATCCTGTCAGCAATAACATGTCCATGGGCTCTTGTTTTGATAACTGTCAGTTTAAGTGCCGGCGATGCAGTGTTGCCAGATATTGCTACTAAAACAAATAAAAACCGAAATATAAACCGAAATTATTTCAAATATTTTTTTAAATAAGATAATATAAGCATATCGCTTACCCTAAATTGCAACTTCCCACTCTATTAACTTTATAAAGTGTCAAATTAGGTGGAAAAGACAAGTCCAAAAACGCCTATAATCGCTGGATCTGGCAACACGGAGGCTGCGCCCGCGCCCTCAAGCCTCGTCCACTCCGCCAGCGTCTCGCAGCGATCGTTTTCATACCACGGACGCTAAACATTCTTGCAAACTGTCTAAACTGAATTATACATGCAGGCACTCATATGGTGATCTCGTAGCTGGCTACGGTTATGATTATATATCACTACATGTGTCTCTCTCTCGCTTAAGTGGCGCTCTTTCCTCTTGCTCTTACTCTCCCTTGCCTCCACGATTTCCGGGATATTGTATCTCATTTGCGGGCGTCAGGGAGCCACTATTAATATGACTCCCGGAGCTTCCGGAAGAGGTGGGATGTCTTTATTCTAGGACTGTCATATAATCTGCCCTGATGCATGTTTGCTTTTCTTTCCCTCTCCGGCAATCTAAACATGACAGTAATTAATCTCCCAGCATGCAGCTGATGATAGGGCTATAAGGAGTATCTGCACAACTATCTAGAGTTCAGTTCATCTGATATGTCTTTTGTTTTCATTTGCTAGCTTTTGCCGCCCTTTTTATTTTCTTTTATGTTGATTGTATACATCAGTATACTTACATAAAAGTAATTAATTGCTAATCTGTCACTATAGGACTTCCTTTTAGGCTGAAGTAAATATATGAAAAGATATGTTGAGAAACGGGCTTTGCAAGTCCCACTGCACATTTTATTTTGATGTTTCATAAGTCTCTATGTAACATAAGCCTGTGAGACTAGATAAATTGATAGCACAAGTGAAAAGTAAAAGACAATAAACTTTACATTCAAGAAACTGAAATCCATGACTTGACTTAGAACTTGATTTGAAGAACAAAATATTGAAAACTTTACCAAACTCTTCAAAAGGCTTTACAAAACACTTCTTGAAAATATCCAATATACTACAAGAACCACGAGCATTAGGGTTTTAAATGCATTGACAACAACCATTTAACAAGACTAATAAACAAGAGCGAATGTAGAGCCAATGAAATCCTTCAAAATAAAATTGTCACTTCAATATAAAAAGATATGAACCTAAAACATGTTACATAAAATCAAGATAAAGAACATGCTGAAAATTCTGAATGGTGAATGTGAAACTAAATTGGTAGGTAAATAGCAGCCTGTTTTTGGTCTTTACCTTATTTTCTCAAGCAGAGGCAAACCAAGGTAACCGGCCCTAACAGTTCAGCTGTTCACCGTACTCATCCTAGCCATCAGCACTGCACTATATTTACCAGCTTTCTGGGTTACACAAGCCTGCCAATGGGGTGTGCACAAGCCCTCAACCCCTTCCTCTGTCCTCCAAATTAGCCGGGTTCTGTCACTGCCATAGTAAACAGTCAAAATGCATGGCGCACGGCCTACCACTGTGGGAACAAACAAGGGGAGGGTCACATGTGAGCCCCGGATGACAGCAGCCCTCCAGACTATTCTAGGTAACTGGAATGTACACAGCGACCTCATGGCAAACTCCAAACTTGAGACCACATGTCTTTCTCCGTGCCACTTTTGACTGTCGTCTTTGAGAGAGAAATTTGGGAGAAATGTATTTGATTTGATCCTGCTCAACTCTGTCTGATTTGGTTCAGACTCATTGGAACTTGAGTGTAAAGAGCAAGCAGGTAAGTTCAAGAGCTACTTTAAAAATATAAGAAACAGGATTGAATTAATGAAATGCTTTATTGTACAGATTGTGAATTCTGATAGGGCAATCAATTTATAAATGTATACATCTTCTAGGTCCTGAATTGTCTGGTATTGCAATGTAGGTTCTTAATAGTCATATGCAAATGCATATTATATTACATGTTATGATCTAGCATAATGACAGAGTCAAGAGTATAGTAAAATCGTTATTTATTGAGATTTCTTATGGCAGTTCCCACTATACTGTCATTTTCACAGCTGTATTGGCAACAGAGTAGAAGCTGTTGAAGCTGTCTTTTTTTAAACAAGTGCCACTGAAATATGATATAGTATCTTTTTTCTTTGGGGAATACTTTCAGCCTTGTTGTGGTGTCTCAGAATGGTGTTTAATAATAAGAAAAAACAATTAGCATCCCAAAATAGACATCAGGCAGGCCCATGTGATCTAGAGTGAAATAAAATCAGTAGCTGTCTTTGGGGTGATTAGACGACTTAGCATTGATAATAGCCCATGAAATGTCCTCGTCTCAAATGGTTAGGCTGTCAAGGGCAAACCTACTGAGGGGATCAGAAACAGCTGGCAAGTGATACAACGGCATTGATAAACTTAGCTTTGATAGGGAAATGTAGCCAAGCACTGCACATGGATGCATTAAAATTATTTAAGAGACACTGGAATCGAACGTTGTGGCCTGGCGCTAAACATCAGGGGTGAGAAAGTAGGAGAGAGGGGGAGCGAGGAAAGGGAGGAAAGGTTGTGTGGTGGCCATGACAACAGCAAACCGTAACTTCTTACTCACCATGACTGAATTGTAATATTTGTTTGCCATTAAACTCTCAATCCTTTCCCTTGGCAGCATGGTTAGTACATCAACAGAGACCTTTCCGTTCAAGGACCAAGAGCTCCCTGCTCACCTCCTGTTTCATTTGAACATACTCAGACAGCAGCAGATCTTCACCGATGTGATCTTGTGCACCGAAGACAAGGAGATCCCGTGCCACAGAAATGTCTTGGTTTCTAGCAGCCCGTACTTCCGAGCCATGTTCTGCAGCAACTTCCGGGAGAGCAGCCAGGCTAGAGTGGACCTGAAAGGGATCACATCGGAAGTCATCGAATGTGTTGTGGATTACATCTATTCTGGTACCATCACCATCACCATGGAGCTGGTGCTGCCCCTGATGCAGGCAGCCTCCATGCTGCATTATTGGAGGCTCTTCGAGGCCTGCTCCACTTTTCTACAGGAACAGCTCAATCCAGAAAACTGCCTGAGCATGATCCGGCTCTCGGAGATCCTTCACTGTGAAAGCCTCAAGGAGAGAGCCAAAGAAATGGCTGTGCGGTGTTTCTCAGATGTAGCTGCTTCTGAGGACTTCTGTGAACTTTCCCTTCCCGAGCTAATGTGCTACCTGGAGGACAACCGACTGTGTGCGGAGGAAGAGCAGGTTTTCGAGACGTTACTTGCTTGGATTCACCATGACCCCTTCTCCCGTCGAGGAGCCATTCACAACCTCTTTAAGAAGGTTCGGTTGCGGTACATCCATCCAACGTACCTCTTCCAGTTTATCGCCAATGATCCGCTCGTCCAGTCGTCTACGCTGTGCACCGAGATCATCGAGT